TCATCTAGATGTAGAACTGAACATGACTTTACTCCAAAGGTTGACCTTGCTTATACATTAAAAGCTGCGTGTATCCCAGGAATCTTCTCTTATTGGTTATGAATTGGTTATTTAAATTTTAGAGATGCTAATCTGTTTTTTCTTACAAAATGAAGTGTCTTGAATGCCATCTAGTGTACAGAAAGCGTCACTGCAACCGTTACATTCCAGGAAAGTAGCTGCTACGAACGGAAATTGCCTCATGTGGTTCATCATCTGGTGAGTTTTTGAACATTTTTATCATCAAACAGGGTCAAACAAGTTAAGTTCTAAGGCTAGTCACGTTAGCATCTAAGCTAAGAATGCTTGCCTTAAAAAAAAAACCAATGACAAATTTGGTGCTGCACGTCTATAAAACAAACAAAAGGTACACTTCATCTTGTCATCAAGGCCAGACTTCAGCACAGGTAATAACTTGTCTTACTTTCTTTCCAGTGAAATCGTAGCCTACTTGTATCACTGCTGAAAAAAAGCATATGCTGGTAAGGTATGTTTTGATGTTGAGTCTTGCTGGTTTCAATGCTAGTTTTGCTAGTTTCAATGCTAGTTTAGCTGGTTATAATGCTGGTTTTGCTGGTTTCAATACTGGTCTTGCTGGTTTTGCTGGTTTCAATGCTAGTTATGCTGGTATCAATTAGTTTTGCTGGTTTCAATGCTAGTTTTGTTTCAGTGCTTTCAAACCAGCAAGGCCAACATCGAGACCAGCAAAACCTGCACTGAAATCAACAAGACCAGCATTAAAACCAGCAAGACCAACATACCAGCATCAAAACATACCTTACCAGCATATGCTGTTTTTTTTTTTTTTGTTTTTTTTAGCAGGGATAATACTGATTTAAGATTAGTTTTTTTTAGAATAGCAAACCACTTTAGCTAAATTTGGTTGTATTTGATTTTGAATAGATCACAATTTAACCATGAAGACATTTATTTGCATAATGTTGATATTTTGTTGGATTAATGGGTTTCTCTTCACACAATGAAAAAATACTATAGTAATTTATACTTAATACTAGTGTTTCTGTACTATATTATAGTATGTTATAGTATTTAACACTCTTTATTAATGAATGCTACAACATACTTTGTATTAACTTTAGTGAACGGATAGACTGTAATACATACTGTAGTATACTTTAGTTTTTACTACAGTAAGCTGATGTATTGTACTGTAATACACCTCACAGTTGTAGAAACCTAGTGTATTGGGTAATTTGTTTGTTGTGTTTCCATTGCAACAGTAGAATCACCACAACAGACTATTTCAAGTACTTTACTATTGTATTGTTCAAAACTATTATAGCTTTCACTATAAATCACTACAGTATTTTTCATGTTAGTTATATCAGCAGTGTTTGGAAACTATAGAGCTAAAGTGTATAATACTGTGTATATTATAGTATTTTAAACTCTTTGTTAATGAATGTTACAACATACTGTAGTATCAACTATAGTGAAGTATACTTTAGTTTTTTTTATTACAGTAAAATGTTATGTGTTGTGCTGTAATACACCTTAGAGCTGTTGACAACTTGGTGTATTTGGTAACTTGTTATTACTGTAGTTGTGTTATGACAACAATTAAATCACCACAACAGATTAATTCAAGTACTTTACTATAGTATGGTTTAAAACTACTATAGCTTTAGCTATACATCACTACAGTATATTTCATGTTGGTTAAATCAGAGATATCTTGATACTCTCATTCAAACCAGTTGTTTTCAATCATGTGTTTGATGTTGATGTAAGTGTGAGCAGGCCATAATCAAACATCTAATTCATACATACTTGGTTTGGTTTTCCGTTCCTTGCCTTTAAACCTTTTCACGCCAAGGATAACACTTGTAACAGTTTGATAAAAGTAACTAGATTTAATTGAGGTAAAGTTGGTCTTATATTCACACATTTGTTTACTGAACTTGCAGTATGATGTGCTCTCTATATTGTTCACCATGGTACTTTTAATTTTCAGCCTGAATTTGCATGCAAGTATGACTTAAACAACATCAGCACTGTATATTTGACTGTGAACAATGTTGTAAATTGATAGTCATTGGCTGCTGATATGATTTTACTATTTAGAATCTGCAAATAATATTTAAGAGAAATTATATTAAGGATAAAGTCCAAATGTATGAATATAAAACCAACTTGACCTCAATATAGTTTTAAAATCAATATCCATATTATTATTTTTATTATTAAAATGAATCACTCAAGCCATCCTGGGTGTGTATGCCTTTCAAATCAACCCAATGAGAGTGTCAAAGCTTTTTAAAGTGAAAGTTCACCAAATCGAAAATATCCTCATCATTTACTTGCACTCAAGTTCTTCTTTTATGAATTGCCATCTTTTATTGATCACAAAACAGGATATTTAAAAAAAAAAAAAACAGCCATTGACTTGCATAGTCTTCTTTGTTTAACAAAAAATACTATGCAAGTCAATGGCCATTTTTTTCCTTTGTGTTCAGAAGAAAGTCAAACAGATTTATAAAAAATGTGAAGAGTTCAGATGCAAAAACCTGAAATTTTCTCCTAAAATTTACATTTTTTTCAAGATCTGGTGTGTATGTTCAGTAAATCTACTTTTATGGCAAATAGTATGTTCTTTGCATTGCCTTTAAAGTGAAATAACTGAAAACAAACATAAGATCCTGAGAAAAAATGCTTATTTTAGTAGAAAATTTCAGATGACACTTTTTTTTTTTCATCTGAACTCTTCATATTTGTGTGAACTATTTCTTTAAAGCTTGATAAAGTGCATCCATTAATTATAAAAGTAATCCATTCATCTCTGGCGGGTAAACAAATGCATTCTAAAGTGAAGATACAGGTTTTTGAAAAAAAGATTCATAGTTAAAACTTTATTACAGCATAAAATGTTTATTGGACTCCATTGGATTGAGTTGTGAACAGAAGACAGTGGATTTGGATGTCAATTTGTATTAGTATCCATGTTAAAATTGTGCATTTGTTTGTCTATGCTGAATTAATCTTGAGATTACTTCTGCTGCACTGACATCCTTTATCATGCATCATAACCTAAGTCTCTCATTAAACTGCATGCAGTTTGAACCCAGCAATTGTTAAAAAAAAGTTTAAAAAATCATATTTTCCCAACAAAAATCTCATGTCATTACTTCAGAAGGCATTGATTTGCCCATAGCCATATGCTTTAGTGTTATAAAAAACTCCATTCACTGCTGTTACAAAACTGGAATAAAATAATATTATTTATTAATTTATTTAAATTGTGTTCGTCTAAAATAATTAAATTCCCAGAGATGGGTTGCGGCTGGAAGGGCATCCACTGCGTAAAAGCATGTTGAATAAGTTGGCGGTTCATTTCGCTGTGGTGACCCCAAATTAATAAAGGGACTAAGCCGACAAGAAAATGAATGAATGAATAAAATAATTTAGGGGATGGTTCAGATGAGTACACCCTTACATAAAATAAAATAAAACCCAAAGTTTTATTTACCTAAAAAATGAAAATTAAGAATTACTACTAAAAACGTTTAATATATATATATATATATATATATATATATATATTTATTTATATTTATTTATTTATATATATTTATATTTATTTATTTATATATTTTATATTATATTTATTTATTTATATTTATTTTATTTAATTAATATATATATATATATATATATATTAATTAAACTGAATTATTTTAGGTGTAACAAGTTGAGGTATTTTATGCTTTGACTTGTGAATCTAGATTGAGTTGAGAGTGCATAAATTACGGGAGGTTGTGCATTGGTGTGGATTTTTTATGTATTGTTTCTGTCCATTAATCAATGTATTAAATACACATCTTGCTTATTTAAATGCCAACTGTTGGGGAGACAGATGTAGTATCAGTGATAAATAATAAGTAAATAAAAAGTGCTAATATGCTACCAAAGACACTATTCTGTCAGATGTCTCTCCCCCTAAAAAATGAATAAAGTTAAAGGGATAGTTAACCCAAAAATAAATATTCTCTAACTATTTACTTAAGATTATATGAGTTTCTTTCACAAAGGGAGATATTCTGAATAAAGTTTGAAAACCTGTAACCATTGATTTTTATAGTAAAAAAACAAATACTATAGAACTCAATGGTTTATTATTATTATTATTATTAATATTTTATTTTTTATAAAAAAATTTTTTTCGAAGTATCTTCTTTTGTGTTCAACAGATAACAAGAAACTCCTAAAAGTTTGCTACAAGTGTCGGGTGATTAAATGATAGCAGAATGTGCATGTTTTTCTGTGAAATATTCCTTTAACTGCATTTTAAATGCACAAACAGTAGACTTACTAACTTAAACAAAAAAAGTGAGCTCAAGTTATTTATAAAGCTCATTTTATAAACAAAATTATGCAAAATAAGATACTTAACAACTTGCAAAACATAACTAATAGACTTGACTGCACACATTAAAGAACCAACAAACAAAAATAAACCTAACAACCTTTTAACCTGCTCTTTGTTTACTAAACGTAATGGCAGTTGTGTTTGTCAGTTACGTCTGATGTGCATTTTTACACAACTTCAATCAGCAAACTTCAGTCAAACTGCCTGCAACACAACGTCCACAACACATCCAAAAATAAGCTTACCGTTTTCCGTGTTGTTTTTTTGCACTGCGGCGAATCTGTGTTGTATTCCACATACATCTGGGGTGCATTAACTACAATCAAATAAACCAATATTAGAATTTGTGTCCTAATAAATAATAATATCTCTATACTGATTAATTGCTGATTTTCTTCACCTCTTCTTTGTCGTTTCTTGCAGATGCAGTTCAGACAAACTATGACAACAGTTAATAGTAATCCAGCCGCAGTGCATATCAGCACTATATACAATAAAGGTAAGTGCAGTCCTGTAATGGACACAGTAAACCATTAGAAAGACAGCATCGGTCTAATCTGAAGATAAACAACTTTTATATCAACGCCAACATACCTGATGGTGTGTTACATGGTTGACAGAGTTGAGTGATGTTGAGTTGTGTGGTCTGGTTGCTGATGGAGTTGTTCACCACGCAACTGTATGTGTCTTGATATTCCACATCTAAAGAAAGGCTCCTGATCTGATCAGACACACTGATGCTGGACAATAAACCGTTTCCTTTGTACCAGGAGAGACTCACAGCAGTCACATTTACCACTGAACACAGCACTGAACAGTTATACTGAGATGATGGACATCGAGAAGAGTTGAGGATAGGAACAGGCAGACGAGCTGGAAAACAGCAGAAAATAAAGATTAATATGGATAAATCTACCCCAAAAATTATTTATGTGATGAAGTGTTTCTGAGATCTAAAACAACAGCGTTTGCAACGTATTTTGATTACCTAGATTTTCTATACTCAAAAAAAAAAAAGAAATTACTTTATTTACTGCTTGTTCAAACGACTTATTTAAAATCAGTTGAAACAACAAAATTCTTATTTTTATTTATTTAATTTGTATTGTTTTATGTTTAAACTTCTTAGAATTAATTTTAAAAATGCCCGTTAAGTTGAACTTAATACATTTGTGTTGAGCCAACATAAAGGAACTGTGTGGAACCCAATATTTTTTATAGTGTATTTAATGAGTGCTAATTGCTTCACAATTAAGAAGTAATTATATTTATCCTGCTTTTATTTTTGTAACATTAAACACTTGCTTAAAAAGTAAACTTACAAACACGTAAGTGATAACAGGCTGAAATATTTGCACACTATGAAGGGTGTGAATAACAGCGAGTTGCGCATTGTCATTGTCAGCCGAGGTTGATTTTAATGTGTCATTTTTTCATGTACAGTTAAAGTCAGAATTATTAGCCCCCCTTTGAATTTTTTTAACAGCGCAAGGAAATTTTCATAGTATGTCTAATAATATTTTTTTCTTCTAGAAAAAGTCTTATTTGTTTTATTTCAGCTAGACTAAAAGCAGTTTAAATTTTTTAAACACCCATTTAGGGACAAAATTTGGGGAAAAAATAAACAAGTGGTCTAATAATTCAGGGGGGCTAATAAATCTGACTTTAACTGTATATTTATATTTGTCATGAATATATATTGAATGTGCCACCCTGGATGACAAATTCAGTCTTATGTTGCACGGGTAGTTTTAGCTGTAGTCTAAAAATATGTGAGTGACTTATAAGGATATTGTTCAATTCAAGTTTATAGCACTTTTTACAATAATTATTGTTTCAAAGCAGCTTTACAAAAGGTGCACGTTATTGAATTAAAATCAAATTAAGTTAAAGTTACAATCAAATATAAGTTATTATATATAAACATGCAACTAATTATATAAAACCTGCAATTTTATATCATATAGGTAGGCCCACATAGAATATGCGCGCAGAGATCCGCAGATTATTAGCCTATCAATGAGTCTATATTTATTTGTGTAAGTGTGTGTAAGTTAATATTTACTCAGTTTTTTTATTATTCTCAGTAATGTTATTGACTAATATGAAAGTGTTAATTTGATTTATTTACAGTACAGTTTGTAAAGTAATATTTTCTGTCTTTTAGTAGAGATATTATATGAGAGACTTGCTTTGTTTACCAAATAAGTAGATCTAATTGGATTTGCATTGTAAACATTAAATACAAGTTAAAAAGGTATTATTTATTATTTCATATATTAAGATTTTAGTTACGATACTCCCAAAATAATTCTAATACTCCCATAAAATAAAATTGCTGATTTTAATTTTTTTTTAACAAAATTCTTAGCTGAAATGGCACATTCTGTCTGGCCCTATATGTAGGTGATGTCTAAGTGTATTTGTGTATTAAGTGAGTGTACGTGTTGTTAATTAAAGAATATGTAGTAAAGATCATGTTCCATGAAGACATTTTGTACATTTCTTACTGTAAATATATTAAAACTCAATTTTTAATTAGCAAAGTGCATTGCCAAGTAGTTAATTTGGACAACTTTAAAGGTGTTTTTTTTCTCAGTATTTACGTTTGTTTAAACCCTCGGATTCTACATTTTCATATATTTATAACATATTGTCATATACATCAGTAGAAATCTTATTTAACAGCTTTCAGATTATGGAAAAATGTGAAAATGAGCACTTATGACTGGTTTTGTGGTCCCGCTTATTCAATAATGTGCATTTAATGCTTGAATGGAGCATAATATAATGTGAGCGTTTAAAAAAAAAAAAAAAAAAAGAAGAAATTTCACTTGTCGCCTTTAAATATTTTATTATTATTATTATTATTATTATTATTATTATTATTATTACAAGTTTTTCAATAATTGCACTATTTTGCTTTTTAGAAACCCTCATTGACTCATGTTGTAATAAGCGCCCTTTCTTTGTCATTTTTTTTTCAGAGGAATTGATAAAACGTATTTTATTTTCAGATACATTATTGTGGAAATTTGATTTATTATTAAAATAAAAAACTCAAAAACAAAAACAGTTCTTTAATAAAACAGGAATTTGTCGTGAAAGCTTCATCCAATGATCTCTACTCACCATAGACAGAAACGCTGAATGTTTTGGATCTTAGTTTTGCTCCACGAATCTGCACTTCATAATCTCCAGCATGTTTGGTTGTGATGTTCGTGATGGTCAAAGATCCAGTTTGATTGTCCAGCTTCAGTCTGTCTCTGAATCTCCCATCCAGAACATCATGTTTAATAGAGAAGATTCCATCAGCTCCACTCATTTCAGCTATCAGAGACTTATTGGCTCCAAATTTCCAGAGAATGTCGTCATCTTCAGGTATTTTGGTAACACTAGAGTTTAGAGAGACAGAATCTCCTTCCATTACTGAGACTGAATCTCCAAACACACCTGTAGAACATGAAGAGGGTTAGCTGTAGCATTTAATGGAATAGAAAAATAAGTGAAATCAGAAGCTTAATCCTTCACATCTTATAAAATAATCTACTTGTTGAGTAAAACAAGTATGTGAAGTCACAAAGTTACTGTAGAGTAAAACCAGTACAATTTTGATGATACTTTTAGTATTTTAAGGGTTAGCTCATTAAAATGAGTTTACTGTGTATTGTATTATAGCTTACCTCTCAGAGAACACAAACAGAACAAAATAAACGTACAAAACATTCTCTTCATTTGCTCAGCGGTCTAGTAAGACTATCTGTTAACATGCACACTTGTGAATCCTCCTACTAAAGAGAATGACCAACCTATTAGTGCGCGCACACACATACTGCATACATGATTTTATGTACTGTTGAAGTCAGAATTATTAGCCCCCCTTTGATTATTTTTTTCTTTTTTAATTATTTCCTAAATTATGTTTAATCAAGGAAATTTTCATAGTATGTCTGATAATATTTTTTCTTCTGGAGAAAGTCTTATTTGTTTTATTTTGGCTAGAATAAAAGCAGTTTTAATATTTTTTAAACATTTTAATAACATTTTAAGGTCAATATTATTAGTCCCTTTAAGCAATATATTTTACAATAGTCTACAAAACAAACCATCGTTATACAATAACTTGCCTAATTACCCTAACCTGCCTAGTTAACCTAATTAACCTAGTTAAGCCTTTAAATGTCACTTTAAGCTGTATAGAAGTGTCTTGAAAAATATCTAGTCAAATATTATTTATTATCATCATGGCAAAGATAAAATAAATCAGTTATTAGAGATGAGTTATTAAAACTATTATGATTAGAAATGTTTTAAATAAATCTTCTCTCCGTTAAACAGAAACTGGGGAAGAAAATAAACAGGGGGCTAATAATTCTGACTTCAACTGTACATAAAATATAAGATATATAGACTTTTCAAGGTCTTCTTAAGACTTAATGATCAATAACAATTATTATCATCAAATGAAAAACATTTTAACTGACACTGATCATTTCTGAAAGCTACTTTCTGACTGTCAAGTATTAGAGAGCAGAGGAGTAGTGGAATAGTCAAACATGCATTTAATGATAAAATAAATCATAAGGATGCTTAATCATTTTAGTTTGTTTTAACTTTTGCCCATTTGCAAAGGTCATCTGCCGTTTCACACTGCTTCAGGATTTAGTTTGCTTTGGTTGTCTTCAAAAAGATCTTTCATATGTCGGTTGGACAAATAGCTTGTGCATAGAACGGTTATTTGTTTGATGTGTGTTCAGTTAGATGAGGCCTTCTTCCTGTACTGCTATTTTAAAAACTAAGTGCGTACAATAACCCTGAACCGTGCCGAAGCGCGGTTATCCCCCCCTCCCCTCTCCCTCGATGGCCTGCACTCACACTGCATCTTTACTTTCTGAACCTGAACATGCTTACGTCGTTGATGATTTGACTGTAGTTTAACAGGAGAGAAGTGCTTTCCCTCAGCACAGTGGAGATTGCTGTAGTTATAGTCATTTAGGATGCAGTGACACAAAGTCAAATATTTTGCCGATCAGATCTACAACTTTTGACGCTCAAAAATGATCACAAAAGTCATCGTGCTGCATGTATCAAGAGGTTTGCTGAAGGTGCAGCTGTCATGCAGTGAGGGATTTGTACCTTTAATAAACTTTCAAAGTGCAAAGTGCACCTGAGTGCGAAACTGAAGACGCAACGTCATTTTTAAGGCACTGTTTCATATAGGTTTATTAATAACTCTTACTGTTCAATAGAGGCAAACTGTGGTAGTTAGACACACTACTTACTGCACGACAGCTGCACCTTCAGCAAACCTCCTAATACGTGCAGTATGATGACTTTCATAATAATTTATGAGCGTCAAAAGTTGTGGATCTGTTCGGCAAAATATTTGACTGTGTGTCACTGCATATCAACCCTGCTAAAAATCCAGCTTAAACCCACCTAGGCTGGTTGGCTGGTTTTAGCTGGTCGACCAGGCTGGTTTTAGAGGGGTTTTGGCCACTTCCAGGCTGGTTTCCAGCCATTTCCAGCCTGGTCTTAGCTGGTCAGGCTGTGAGATGACCAGCTTGACCAGCCTAGCCAAGCTGGGAGTCCAGCCAAAACCAGCTATATCCAGCTTAAACCAGGCTGGTCAAGCTGGTTTTAGTTGGATTTGGCTGGTCATTTTCCAGCCTGACCAGCTAAGACCAGGCTGGAAATGGCTGGAAACCAGCCTGGAAGTGGCCAAAACCCCTCTAAAACCAGGCTTGTCAACCAGCTAAAACCAGCCAACCAGCCTAGGCTGGTTTAAGCTGGATTTTTCTGCAGGGAAACCACTAAATCAATATAACTAATGTCAGACTGCATGATTTTCAAAGTAGTCGTGTCACAGATGTTTTCATACTGCATGACTATCTGGGCTTGCGTTTCGTCGCTGCTTTGTTTACACTGCAAGATGGATCGGTGACTAGGACTTTCACATTGCATGACTTTACTATAGGAAGAATCGCCGACAAGTTCGTCCAAACTACGTCTAACAGCCAAAAACACGTAGTATATCTTTTGTTATTAACTACATAATGAGAAAGAAGCCTTTAATGGGGTAGAAAATGTACATATTTGCTAACCTGGGTTTAAAGGGAATTAGCCATTGCTCCTCAACATTGATAATAAACTAATTTATTTCTGTATGAAACGTCAAACAGACACGGTTGCTCCTGAGTCCTGTCAGTGAAAGCTGCTCTCTCATTGGCTGTAGGCGATCGCTGATGTTATTTTCAGTCAAAACTCAATTCACACGGCATGATTTGAATCGCCGACAGCTCCAGATATTTAGCACGCCAAATATCTTGCAGGCATCGGTGACTCATCGGCGATTCTCTCAGATCTCATCTTTGATAGTTCATACTGTGTGATTGACACTCACGTGCACGAGCAGCGATTTGCCTGTGATTTCAGGCATTTGTCGGCGATTTCTCAAAACCTGTCGGCGAGCCAAAATCGGGGCTAAAATCACTCAGTCTGAACTAGGCATAAAGCAATTTCTGTTGTACAAAGCAAGATCGCTTCTCTTCCTGTCAAACTGAACAGTTGCATCATTGATGTTAGCAGGTTTTTAAGGTAAAAGCAGTTGGAGTGCAGGCCGTTGGGAACCAACTGCGCTACTGCACGATTCAAAGCAACTGTACCTAGTGTGTGTATGCCCTTAGTGTGACTTTCATCCTATACACAGCTTTACATTTTACATCAAAGATATCCATTAAAAAATATTTTTGGCAAACTGTTGAATGCTCTAATTTACAATTTAGGAAGTGTTGCCATTGAGTATTATTATTCATTAATCACAATTAATCTAAATATATAGTAATCTTTTATTTCAGGGCTGTAACGGGTGTAACGAATCACAGAAGAGAGCGAAAAGTATCTATTCAGGTTCAAGAAAATGTCAACAAAATCGAGACAAAACCCCAAAAGTGTCTGGCTGCAGAATTGCACATGCACGCTGAGTCATGGACTGCAAGCGACATCACAGTGAGGGATGGGGTTAGGGGTGGGGTTTTGTGACAATTTAGTCAAAACTCTCTAGGTCAGGGGTGGCCAACCCTGTTCCTGGAGAGCCACATTCCTGCAGATTTCAGTTGCTACCCATGTCAAACACACCTGAACCAATTAATTAAGACCTGAACACCACGTGATAATTACAGGCAGGTGTGTTTGATGTGGGTTGCAGCTGAAATCTGCAGGAAGGTGACTCTCCAGGAACAGGGTTGGTCACCCCTGCTCTAGGTTATATTAGAGCTGCGTTCCAGTCCACTTTTAGACACGCACTTGCAAACATTCCTTTCCCACCACTATTTTAAATTATAATTCATAGTAAAGTACTATCAAATAAAGTAAAATATTTGTAGCTGTTGTAGAAAAGATTTTTTTAAAGGTACCAGTCAAATTCCTCTACACAAAAGTAGTCTCACAGCTTGATAGTATTTTAGTTGAACTACTGAAGACACATGGACTGATTTTACTATATTTTGTGGTACCGTTCTAGATTGATTCGGGGAACCATTGATGTCTATGGAGGACAAGAGAGCTCTCAGATTTCATCCAAAATATCTTAATTTGTGTTCTAAAGATGAAGGAATGTCTCAGGTTTGGAACAACATGAGGGTGAGTAATTAATATCTCTAATAATTTTGGGGGAACTAACCTGACATATTTAATCATGTATCGAAGTTGTCTCTTTTATTTATGCACTGAGCATGAACTCACAGTGAACAAAATACAGTATGTATTGACTCTGTGTTGCCAGATCTTTGTAGAAAACACATGTACTGCTTTTGTTTTTCAGCAGTACAAGACAAACAGGGGTTGGACAATGAAAAAGAAACACCTGGGGCCTCATGTACGAAGACTTGCATGGAAATCATACTAAAACATTGCGTACGCACAAAGCTGTAAATGTGCGTACTCAGAAAAAATTCAGATGTATGAAACACTGCGTACGCCGAATCTCACGCATATTCTTTTGTACATCTGAATGAACGTGAAACTGAGCACGAGCACAAAACCCCTACCTGCCTCCTCCCCCGTATGAATATGCAAATGACTCTACTTTGGCAAAACCCAACAATAAAAGCAATGGCAAAAGCAAGCAAAAAGAGAAACTTTGAACAGAATGTGAATTGGAGGTGCTGCTTTCGGAGGTAGACCGGAGAAAAGCGGTGTTATTTGCAAGTTTGTTCTCCGGAATTAACAACAAAAAAAAAAAATAGAGTGGGAGAGTTTAGCTGATGCGACTAACACAGTTGGGTCTGAACATCGCACTGAGTGAATTAAAAGAGAAATAGTGTGGTTTATAGGTGTAAAATGTTGCAGCACCTGTAACAGTCTCAGTGGCGCAGCTCGTAAGACGCTCATCAAGATGTTTTGACACGTTCGAGCATGAACTCATTCTTCTTTTTTCTTTCGCTACATATCAGATTTTTCCAACTATTTATC